ATATTTAAAATACTAGCTGTCGCTCGCAACTCCATTCGCGCGAAATTAAATAAAACGTAATAAGTCGCCTATGTGTTCTTCCAGACTATGTTCTACATCTGTGTAAAATTTTATACGTTGAGCTGTTCCGGGGATACTTTCAATTAAATATCCATCTATCCATCCATCCAAACATTTAAATTTAGTAAGATTTTATAGATCAATAATATTTGAAATGTATTTTTATAATACTCAAACTTCCACTATTAACAATGTGCTCAGTTTCGAAACAATGTGTTTAAAAGTACCTTTTCTGTAATCGCATCCAGTAGTTTTTATTCAACGTGCCTTGTTAGTACCAGACCGGCAACTGTTATGTCAACTTGAGAAGCGATAAAGAGCTTAATGTTTTTTTTAATTTTAATAATATAACATATATATTTTGCGACATGAAATCATCAAAAAATAATATACTAGAATCATATTATTACACTTGAAGGCAATTTAAGTATTATTCTGAAGTAAATATTAAAAAAAAAATTAAATTTAAACGTGAGTCAATTGTCAAAAACTTACAAAATGTTTTCATAGATTTTTTAAAATTAAATCATTATTGTTTAAGAATACTTCATTTACTAAGCTAGTGATTAAGTTTAGTCGCTATATTAAGTGTCTAATTCTGTCGGTTTTAAAATTGCCTTGTTTTCCAAGAATCGGGTAAACGGTGCTAGTGTGGCCCGTGCCTTGTAAATATATAATTTAGTGATATCAAACTCCGTTCTCAGAAGTGGCTGAAGGCGCTCCAATTTTATATAATCGCTAACAACAAATCATGTGTAGTCATCAATCTAAGACTGAATTAAAATTGAAAAATCTGTCTAGAATTATAGAGATAACCAGGTACAAATGTATTTGGACGACGAAAACTATTGATTTGCATCGTATTAATTTTTTTTTGCTTATTATATATCCACAGATTTTCTTAATTATTTTTTTTTTCATTTTTATAAATTAAAATATTAGCAGATTTTGTGAACAACAAATCATGTGTTTTAAATCTGTTTTAAGACTGGATTGAAATTGAAAAATCTGTCTAGAATTATAGAGCTAGAGATTTTATTTGGACGACAAAAACTGTTGTACCAACCCTACGACGAAGATGGTGATTTTCAACGTATCTATTTTCGATTTTTTATTTACTTATAAATGTATACCTTATCTTTAGGCTATTGACGCTTTAATTTTATTAATCAATTAGACAAGATACCAATTAATAAAGGTTTTTAATCTCTATTGGCATTCTTAGATCGGAGCAATTTTAAACAATTGGATTAAAAGCAAAGAAGATTTAAGATCGATTACTGAGTTCGGCCGTTACATGATCTAATTCAGATTATATCCCCAGGCAGATTAAAGCTTCAGTAATATAGAGTTAATCTTCAGTGAACATAAGAAAACGTCATCAGGAGATTTCGATATTAAATGGGTGTGGCAACACTGGAAGGCGTGGGAATAGACTCACCTTTCCTTAGACGTGGGCGAATTAAACAAAGTTAGACAAATATTATATCTAACTGGCAATACCATTAAATATTGTAGGTAGAGCAAAGAGTATCATATGATGTTTTAAAATAATGAAATGGGAAAATATAATGTACTTATTTTTATTGTTATTTCATACTAACTATGCCCGCGACTTTGTCTGCGTGAAGACAGTATTGTCTTTGAGTTTCGCTCGATACTGGACAGTACTTGAACATTGCAAAATAACTTTTTTATTCAAAAAAAAGGATTTTTCTAAAATAAATGTAGCCTAAGTTACTCCTTATTACATCAACTACCTGCCAATAAAAGTTCCGTCAAAATCGGTCCAGCCATTTCAGAGATTAGCCGGAACAAACAAACAGACAGACAAAAATTGTAAAAAAATGGTACTTTGGTTACCAACCGTATATATTCATATACATGTAGTAAAAAACGATTATTTCAATATTACAAACAGACACTCCAATTTTATTTATGTATAGATATAAATTTAGATTTACATGAAAATGATTAACTACACTAGTAAGTCATTTTCATATAAAATATGTTATTACAATCCGACTTAAAAACTATAAAGATTTTGCAAAATTGCAACAGATGTTATGTTTTATTTAGACGCAAATTAAATGAACCGGTTGAGCTCTTGATGATTGAAAGCTAATATTACTTTTGTTTACATCCTTTGTATATTTTTGCAAACCTTGTGAATACACACTGTCTGGTAAAATGTCGTTCAGTTATGACGTATTTTATTAAAGGTATTACTAAATTAGACGCAGTTCAATTCTTACTTTAATTTCGGTTGCCATTTTTCATTGATTTTAAAGAATGACGTATATTTACAAGTACAGAATAATGGTCATCGTAATAACGCATGTTTGTTACAAGGTGTACACAAAACGGCTACATGATTCTCACTGAAATTTGGCACATATATGGAACATAGCCTGGAAGAATATATAGGCTACACATTTATTAATTCCGCGTGGAGAGTCGCGGGCGACAGTTATATTTAATAATTCTCGTTTAATATTCATCAAGGTTTTCACGGAATTTGAAAATCTTACGTATCTCTCTATCTCTACCTGACTCCTATCCAACACGGTGATAGGGTTGGCTTTCTTATACCATCTCTTCCATTTAGAAAATTTTACGAAATTATCTTACCTACAATATTTATTTAATCTGTACTATTATATCTTCGCCATTCTGAGTGGCCGTGTGTCCGAAGTAATTCCGTTCGTCCTTGCGTGCCCGCGGCGGGCAGCAGGCACCGGGCGGCGGCACGGCTCCTGTCATTACGCTACGCACCGGCTAAGGGCTACTGATAATTTGTTTGTAACACTACTACTTGTGTAAGGATTTAGTATATATTATCGATATTTTATCCATCAAATGATTCGGCGAATAAAAACTAGCTATCGCCCGCGACTCCATCCGTGCGGTGTTAATATAAACATAATTACTAGCCTATGTGTTCTTCCAGTTGTTCTATATGACAAATTTCATCAAGATCCGTTCTGGAGATACCTTCAAACAAACATCCATCCATCTAAACATTCGCATTTAACTTTCATTCGTTATTTTATTAAAACTACTTTGTTAAAAACAAGCTTTATTTAGGTGATAATTTTTTTATGTGGTAATTTTAATAATAGTATTAAAACTGCAAATTAAAATATCGACAGTAATAAAGCAATTATAACTATCGATATTCGCATAGGTACATCACTAATGCTACCGTGCAGTCAGCAATCAGGCTGTAGGCGTTGCGTGAAGTCCGTAACACCGACTACCTACATTGTAACCACTACCTATGTAGCGATATCCTGCCAGACATAGTAAAGTGGCCGAGAACGATACTTCAAAGAAATTAGATCGAGTTGTTTTGTAAGCTTCGCTTTATAGAAATAAAGATCCATTTAATAACGTATGAGAGCGTCGGTAGCTCATAAATCAAGCACTTGACTTGCATTCTGCAGGTCCTGGGTTCGAATCCCGCCATGTACCAATGTGTTTTTCGATTTCCGATTTACGTATGTACATTTACCCGACGTTCTTACGGTGAAGGAAAACATCGTGATGTTGCACATATCTAAGAAGAAATTCAAATTAGATCATATAATATAATATTATAAATGCCAATGTTTAAATGGATGGAAGGATGAATGTTTGAAGGTATCTCCAGAATGACTGAATGGACCTCGATGTTATTTGGCAGACATAGAACATAGTCTAAAAGAACACATAGGCTACTAATTTTGTTTTTTTTTGTTGTAACAGCTAGTAGGTTTTATGACTAACTTATGCAATGCGATCCAAAATACACTACGAGGCGTGGCAGCCACCCTAAATGTCAGGGGGTTAGGGGTTAGCTTAGCGTTAGGGGTGAAAAGGGGAGAAATAACGGAAACGCCTAATGGAGCTGAGTCACGACATTCAAAATAGCTCACGTTAATGTTTTCGTAGAAAACGAAGCTATTTGAAGTTTTTTTTTTATTATACTGAGTTTTATTTTCACGTATATGGAATATGAACACGCTATGGTAATACATAATATGGAAATGACTTCTTTTTTTTACTTTGAATAATTATTTTATTTAAGTTTAATCTTTTGTTAGTAAAAATTTAAAAGGTTATAATAAAATCCTCAGTTATTTTTTTACTAGCTGTCGCCCGTAACGCCTCCCGCGCCGTATTAAAACAAAATTAGTAGCCTATGTGTTCTTCCAGGCTATGTTCTACATCTATGCCAAATTTTAGCGAGATCTATCCAGCCGTTCTAGAGATATCTTCTAACAAACATCCATCCATCCAGACATTCGCATTTATGATATTAGTAAGATATAGTCAACATGTTTTTGTATTGTGATTGTGTAAGTCGATTTATGATTTAGCAAAAATTACATTCAGTTTTTCTTTTCTTTGAAAACTTTCTATTAGATAGTCAGTTTGAACCGGTTATTTTCTGCAATAAACTGGTTTATGCCGGTTATAAAGTTTTTCGCAGACAGGCGTGCCAGGCGCGCTGTTGCGCCAACTTTGCACAAACTTTACTGGTAATAAGCAATGTTTGCAAAGTTTGATGATACTTTAATGTAACTGACTTAACATTTTATTAAGTTATATATAAGGGGTGATGACAAATTAATCTTTTGAAGTTCATTGACCTATTGGAACTGTAAATTATTTTAAACATGGTCATTGTATGAATATTTTTCTTCTACTATTAAGATTACTATCATTCGTAAGGTTAATAGAAATAGGACTCTTAGTTAATTGACTCATCTGGATCTAGTCCAGATGACTGGACTGGACTGGAACCATCGGGGTTTCAGGATGGTTGGTAAATTTGAGAGTTCACCAAAGCAGCATTAGGCAACGTTCCCATGAGAAAAATCTTTCGGAAATTTTGTTTTTAATCAATGGCAGCTAATCGATTTAATGCAATATTAAAAGTTTATTGCTTGCTCCAGGTGATGTAACATGGAGGCATCGTCATCGGACTACAGCGACGAGGAGGTGGGGGTCATCGCAAGGGGCCAAAAGCTATGGGTACGAGGGGTTCGCGCACATACTACCTGCGCTGACATCGTCCGCGCGCTGCAGGACGCGCCTGAAGGTTACAGCTGCCTATTTGTACAATCCTTAAACCCATTTTCCACTAAGTATCTTGCGATTGTAGTCGTGCTCATCGCAACTATAGAAAGGTGTAGCAGTCAGGCACCCTTGTAGCAAAATTGTTTTTTTATGTTTGGTAATAGCGCAATGACATAACATTCTAGTGCCGACAAAAGATGAAGCTACAGTATCTAAATCATAATTAAAATTACTTAATTGAATCTTCATAGAAATTTAACTTTTACCTTTCGCTTCCAGCTGGAAGTGGGCTGAGCGAGCAAGGGGAATGGGTCTTAGCGGAGAGGTGGCGCGGTGTTGAAAGACCTTTGCCTCCAGACGCGCCTGTACTGCACGTCCTTGCAGCTTGGGGAGACGCCAGACATGAGGTATGTAACGATTTGGCATTTTTCCCCTAGCCATTACTACCTATTTTATTTGTATTCAGAGAAGCCATGTCTCTAAAGGCAAGTTATAAAAATTTCTAAACTGTAGGTACGGTTATCACTTCGGCGTCTATCAAGCGGTGGAGAGGATGACTCAGGTCGTGACAGCGACGCAGGCAGTCGAGCTAGCGCAAGAAGACGTCGTAAGAAAGGCCTCCGAGCCGCCACTCCACCACCACGAGCACGAGAAGACCCAGCTGCCAAACTAGTTTCCATCATACAGCATCAGAGCAGAACGATACATCAGCAATTGGACAAGCTAAGGTAATCTTAAATCGTTTATAGCCTCATAATTTTGAATAGAAAGCTTATGTAAAATATAATTTTGCTTAACTTTAATAACTCTAGTTAAAATTTTAATATTAATCTCTCTATAAATCTTTGCTAAACCATTTCAGGGAGCAAGAAAAAGTAATTGATCATTTGGAAGATCAAACACATAAAAATCGAATGGAAAAGCACGGAACTAATTACTTACTCGAATCGTATCTAAGAGATCTTGGACGATGTAGTGAAGTAAACGATAGCCAAGCCGGCAACAGTGACAGCGGTGTAGGTGTTGGCAGCGGTACACCCCCAAGAAGACATACCAAACACAAATCAAGAAGAGAGAGACAACTAATGAGAGAGCATTACTTTACTAAAGAATTAACAGATATTTGTCAAGTGAACTCAGAAAGACTTGTACAGACCCACACGGACACTGATTCGGATGTATCCGCTGATGAATTATCAAGGATACGAGAAGAAATTGAACTTTTAGAAAAGCTTGCCATCATAAATAAAAGATTACATCGAGAAGAAGAATTAGTAGTTAGACTAACAGCTAAAGTGAAAAGATATATGGATGAGAATAAAGCAAATAGTTGCGAAAATGTAACACAAGTGAGTATGCTTATTGATAAAATAGAAGAAGAGTTAACGAATACAGCACAAGAGATGGAAAGTAACGCAATCGAATTAGCGAGAACGGATAGAGAAATAGAGGATAGAATTAAATTACTAGACGAGTTGACATTAGAGCTTGAGGAAGAAGAATTACAGAATACAGTTCTCGAGAGAAAACTTAATGAAGCATCTAGTAGACAACCGATACTTCTTCATGAAAGCTATGTACCCGTACTAGATCAGGCTAATACCCAGCCTGTGTTCACATATGAAACTACAGGCTACATTTTAGACACTCTTGTATGATACAGGATGGTGCAAAATTTATCCCAAAGAAGAACTTTGTAATTACCATTTATTTAAATTTCAAATCTGATAGTGATTATAATCCAAATGTAAAACGATCCACAAAAGTTCAATTGTATATATTTACGTTATTAAATAATTACTATAATTATTTTAAAATTTTATGGTGCTAAGACAGTCTGTATAAATTTATAAGCCAATGTTTATAGGATATATTTATATTTTATGTCCAATACCAAAAATAATTTACAAAACCACCAATTGAATGTTTTATATTAATTAGTTAGGCCTAGTCAATTTTGATCAAGTGATGTCAAATTAATTCAGAACTCCTGCTTTATCTTAGATTTTTAAACCCCAATAACTATTAGGTCTGTAAAACTTTTGGCCGCTTCAGCAAATCAGCGTATCTTTGACTCTAAATTAAAAAAAAAATTAAAAAATGTCACTGAGCAATATTGAGCCAATAGTTTTTTTTTTAAATGGAATATCCCAAAAATTGTGTATATTAAAAAACTTGTTGAATATGTGTAATTGTATTTTAAATGTACATAAATATACATTGATATAAAAATTTTCTTATATCCTATTTTTTACCATTTACCATATTAACTGTATGAATGTAGAAGAATCAAGAGAGGTATGTCAGGACTGCGCCAAGTGGAAGTCCGTGGCCTCTACTCCTGTGGGTTAGGGTAGTGGTGAGAGGGAAAACAAAGTATAAAAAGCATTTTTTAATTCCAGAAAAAAAAGCAAATACAAATAATAAAATTCATAAGAGAAAGACAGCGTTAAATAAATTGAGATTATTATAGAATATTATTTTATTTTTAAATCAAATTAAACTACATAAAAATATATCTTTTACCATTCGCATAGAAATATCTGTTAGCTTAGCTTTATTTTAACAGAATACATTGAGACGGACTTGTATATCTGACATAATTCAGTTATATTTATGCTCACAGCGTCAGATATCCTTGTCAGTCTATCTCTAATATTGTCGGTGTATCATTTTCGAATTAGTCAGTTGGTGTCGTCGAATGCCAGTGAATAACTGTCGGTAAGTCCACTTCCCGCTCTGCCGAGTCAAGATCAGGTAGAGTTGTTCTTCTCGAAGGATTGGGTCTGACAATGCTGAGAGGTAAATCCTCAAGACCTGATACAAAGCCCCATTTTTCGTACATATAAAATGCCACTGTTTTCGTATCATTAGATTGCAAAGGATTAATTGTGACTGTCAGAAATTTTTCTTCGACCACAGATCTAACGACTTTCTGGGCACTGCTCTCATCGAAAAACTCATTACGAGCTTTCGCGTCTAAAGCCATAGACAAGAACAACGACCATCTGGGCGTGTAATAATAATGGAACAACTCCGCCCATTGCTTACAGGCGTAGTCAGATATCTCACCATTCGGACCCCACAACGTAATCTGATTCCTAGCATTTAGTTCGTACAAAAACGTATTATCATCAGACATGCTTCTAGCTGCCGCCAGCCAATTGCCAAGCATAAATTTATTATTAGTAGCTAATATGTTTTCCATATCATTCATCAGATCGATAAACCGGCCAATTGTAGCGTTGAAAGCCATCAAATTTAAGAACCTTTGATTTAAAACATCCAAATACAACTGGTCCGCTCTGTATTGTAATGCTTGGCGAGTAACATCAACGAGATCATAATAAAAACCATCGGAGTTACAACCGGAGTTAGTGGAGAGTACGAACTCTTTAAATGCATTGAATAGATCGCTGCTTTTGTACCAAGCCCATGGTCGTATTCGGAAACTTGGCCGGCGAGTGACTACGTATTTACCCCTGATTGGATTAAGTCCGCTGAAATTATAAACGCTCTTCAATAAATATTTCCATGCACTAGATGTAGTATTACAACCGTACCGTCTTTCAGCATAGTCAGCTACCCAGTTGTCGAGATTCTGTATCGGTTCTTTGCGCCATGCCACTTCCAGCATCAAGTCGTACATGACGTAATTCTGGTTGATTCCTTCCGGAGTCAATCCGATACCAATCATTGTACTGTTCGCTATATCTCTAGCCAGATATACGTCTTTATTAATAGCTTGCATATTACCAAACATACCCAAGGTTCCACCGAAATTATGTAGCATGCACCAAATGAACGGCTGGCCGTAGTACATTTGATAGAGATTGTACTGCGGCCATTGCTCTGACTGCAAATCTAGTACCAACATCCTGCCTTCCGGGACGGCTGTAAGAAAACTCTGTACTCTTTTCAAAGGCCACTGAACGGGGTTATGTACGAACATCCAGTTCTGAACTAACCACACCGCGTTATTGTTAAATTTCGATATCGCCGAGAATACGGCAGATGCAGTATCTCTCACCAGACTAGTTGACCACGGTTGCACTTGGATTTCATTGAAAGGATCAGCCGCAAAAATATCACCTACACCCAAACCACTGTTCATCTCTCTCAGAAACATTTCCCCTATTTGCGTGAACAGCGGTTCTCTTGGATTAATAAATAATCCACAGCAATAATCAGGGCTGAATTTATTCCATTTTTCAACTGAGTAGAAGGTGACGTTAGGATATAATCTCGTAAACGCTGATGGTACGTGACCGTTGAACGCGGGGAAGACAGGTATTATACCGAGCTTAAACATATAACTAACTACACTTTCTTGTATGTTCTGCTGTCGTTCATGCCAAGATTTAGTAAGTGGTCCTCCCCAGCCATGAACATTACCCATGCGAAGCCACGAAAGGAACGCTGGTCCTGTGAAATATTCATTGATCTCCTCATCGGTCATTCCTAATTTCCGATAGATCCGGTCCCAAGCGGCCTCTTGTGCGATGGGTGCTAGTGCCAAATTGATACCGTTCAGGGCCATCCATTCGACGTGAGTTAGCCACTGGTCTGGTGTCCACCAGACGAAGCTATACGATGCGGTGCAGACGTTCTGATAATATCTGAATCTATCGCTGGCTACAACCACTTCGTTGACCTCCGGCAGTGTTTCGGGAATAGTAATCCTTTGTGTTTGCCACGCTATTTGACTTTTGCAGTATTTCTTCAAATAATAATTGAAGCCCCAGAGAGCCGCGACGCCGCTGCTAGCTCTGATTTGCAAACATCCATCAGATGTACGTAGGGCAAAAACGTCTTTTTTGTTATTAAATAAAAGGGGATCAACGGTGACACTGACTTGACGGGTGTACTTATTAATGATGTTAGTTGCCGCGTCTTGTTGAACTTGGGACGATGTTTTAGTCTGAAGCACTGTGGGGTCTAAGTAGTCGAGATTCAACGCGGCGATGTAACATATTTTTAAATAAACAAAAAAGACTATTAGCTTCATGGCCGCGTAAGTCTCGGTCAGTGACAGAACTCGAACTGAACGGACTTAGATAACAAAGATGCTCCTCACACAATAATAATCAACCGCTGACCCCTATCTCGGGTTACCTCTTGATAGGGTGACATAGTTAAAATAAAAAGTCAGACATTTATAAAATAATTGTGAGATCAGACAACTGATACAGACAAGAAACAAGCTATGTCTGTTTTCTACAAAAACAAAACATGTTCAATGTGGATGTCTCGTCTATGCAAATTTATTTATGGTCGATAAAATATCGCAGTATTCTTTACATCTGTACTAAGAGGCTATATCCAGAATAATCCATAAAGTAATAAATTCTAGAAACTTCTAGAGGACAAACGCAATGTTTTTGTTTGTTCCGGGTAATCTCTGAAACGGCTGGCCAGAGTTTGACGGGACTTTACTAGGAAGATACATGCTTGCTTTTTTTTCCCTTTCCAAGTCGCGGGCGACCGTAAGAATATTTTACAATTATAATATTCCTTTTATTAGAAACATAATTATGGTGACCCTAGTTACGATAAGGATTCCGGGTATGGTCCATCAAAGTTAATGTTTTGTTTTCCTTTTTGTAATAAGCATGGCCATTGTAATTCGACAAGAAGTTTCAGGAATTCCCCGCTATAAAAATTTTGTGTTACCATTAAAAATATTTAATAGCTCACTAACGCCCCCACTGTCAAAAATTGTGACAAGATCCTTTTTGGACTGCAGCTGTCATGTTATTTCTACCTTTTGTCATTTTCTATGTTTTAGAAGGCTTATATATATTATAGCTGTGGTTCGCTACTTGAATTAAAAAGAAAACTTAATTAGTATCCTGTGTTCCAGACTGTTCTAAACTATGTCAAATTTAAGCGAGATCCATGCAGCCGTTCTGGAGATATCTTTAAAGATCCATCAATCCAAACATTCGCATTTACATTAGTAAGATGCTGGCAGACCGGTTGATATCCTTGTTTGACTATTGTTAAAGAGAATGTCGGTGCATTTGATTTATAACAGGTAACACTGTTTTGTCTATGGTGCTCCAGTTCTGTGTAGAGTGCAAAAGACGTTCCGCGAAATATGTATTTAAAGATTACGTCGAACATTCCCAGTTGAGACAATGACCTGATGCTTCGATGTATGAATATATCAAGGCCCATTATTATCAAGAATTTAGAGTAAGAAATAAAATACTTCAGAAAATTTAAGCGTTTATTTAAGATATATAAGCAAAAAAAAATTAAGAGCACATGTTCATTTTTATTGCCTTGGCCAGTATCTAGATAATCATTCTAAAATTATACTGAATTTTATATTTGTATGGTCTTAAATTATTTTAGGAAGCAATAAAAATCTAAATACTGGCCAAGGCATTTCTTTGCAATTAACTAAACAGAAGGAGGTAAAGAAATTATAAAAAATTGAATGCAAATCTTTCAAATCAGAATAGCAAAAAGTGTAACTTGTTTCATCTTTAACACTTTGCTGTGAAATATCTTGCAGGCGTTCCGCGATTATTCCGTGTCCATCGCGACCTGGAAATAAAAAAAAATGTATAAATTGTTAGAAATGGAGTTCAAATTACCAGGTATTAATTTATGATAATTCTATTTAATATCTAACAGAATTTGGTAAAATGTTAAATTACAAAATATTTATTATTAATTACAAAACATAAATTAGTTCAACTTGTTCATTTTGACCAAAAATAAAGTTTTTATAAAAAAAAACAAAAAGTAAAATCTAAAGAAAAAGATTGACCCCGACG